GAGAACTACCCATATGGGGGTTTCCGAAAATAGGGGACCCTAATATAGTACCCTAAATAATAGGATCCTTATTATAAGGACCCCAAAATAAGGTACCCTAATTTTCGGAAACCTCCATATTGGAAGGCTGGAAAAGCGAGGCAGGAGAGAGAGAGAGTATCTGATCCAGCCTCTCATCGGAACCACGGAAAGGGCCGCTTGCACCGGTGAGCATGAACAGAAGATGATCATGATGATGATTGTAGTTGCAGGGGTGGTGACGATGCTGACATCGACGAAGGATTGTCGACAACAAGTGTTGATGTGAGTCTTTACAGATGCTCAGGGCGACTATGAAGAAAGCACCTTCTTTCTTCATGATGGCCGGGATGATGATTCTGGCAGTAGTGAAATAGCCGGTAATAGTGATGCTCATGCTGCTGCTTCTCCTGATGATGATGATGCTTGACAACAGCAACCGAACGAAACACAAACCGAGCTAGTCTGTCTGCAAACGGCTCGCACTCTTCAATCCGCCTCGACGGAAACGCAATCAATAACCTTGGATTCCTCCGCGTTGGTCTGCCACTGTCGGGGCTTTGACGCTTCATGAACCTTACATAAAGACCAGGGTTTAGGGTTTAAGGCCTGGGGTCTAAAGCAGGAATCCAAGATCTGAGTTGCAGGTCACGGTGAATCACGGTGTGAGGGTTCTTCCACCAGCTTCGATTCGCTGCAGCATGTCATGCATCCCCGTCAGCTCACGGTTCCTTGTGTCAGGGTTTTTACGGCCAAGCTGTCTTAAGTGCAACTGACGTTGCATCGTCTAGGGTTTAAGGTTTAGGGTTTTGCAGCCTTGCCTTGGAACTTGCTTTTGAACGGGTAGTCTCTGCAGCATCAGCTGCCATAAGCTCGCACAGAAACATGCATGCACATGCGGACGAAAACTGTAGACTCGCGAAGCTTCAAAACACCGACAGCCTGTATTATCCCATCCTCAACACCACTATCAACGTCACCACCTGCGGGATGTCCTCACAAGTAATCATTGTCCACCTACTGTCCACGTCATCCCCCCTTGCCGGCATCACAATCACCACCATCACGGCAGAAGACCAAGCACCAAACAGAGCCTGGAAAAACAAAAACACGCGATACGATCAATAATGTCAAGACTCAAGACAGAGTCGTGCGCGCACACAGACACACACAGACACACACGTACATACATAGCGGCCAGCAGATGTGGATAAAACCAGCAATGATGGCAGCAACAAGATGAACATGGCCTCAGCCCTAGTACACACGCCAGCGCGAACTCCAACAACAGCAGCAACCACGATGACGAAAACGACGAGGCATGACAATAAGTCCTGGTAAGTGGTAAGTACTCACTACGGAACAGCGGGATGAGCACCAACAGGCAACATAATAACAGAACACATGCCACAGAAAGAGTCAGGAGTGACCAAGGCTTGGGAAGGCACTGCCGCATTCTCGAAAGATAACCGAGACACCTCTACTTTTGACTTGAAGTTCTTCAAGGTACGTCATTATGCAAACAGGCCGCGACACTGCTGCACGTGCAGGCTGAAGATGATGGACACATGCATGGATATGCTTCGCATCGTTATTGTCATGGTTCTTCGGATTCAATACAGGTCCTAAACCCTATACGCCTTAAAAGCCCTGAGTAAAGCATGTCTGGGTAGGAACAGCCTCCAATCCAGGAAGACACGAGGAATCAAGTAGGCTGACGCATGCAGCATGCGCAGTCAGCTGGAACACGGAACATGCTCTGCAAAAAATGACTGAGTCTATCTATCTGGGGATGCCGCGGAATACCACGTGCATGTCCGCACAACACAGGGAAGATACTTAGGGAGCTACCCATATAGTCTTTCTCAGCTGGTACCACAGCATCTCCCATCGCCTTAAATGGATTCCATGTGCAATATGCCCAGACCTTCCAATATCCCTTAATGAAGGAACATGGCAGTAAATTGTAACCGGATCCCTCATACTATTTACGGTATATTTATTGGAAATTCTGGGTGACTCTGGAGACGGAGAATCGAAAACCCGGATCTCAGACCGCACCCGGGTGCCTCCGTGACGACCCTCTCACATGGTCAGGGCTCTCGGCGTCTAGAATACGGCTTATAGGGTTTAAGGGTTACCTTAAGAACCCCAAACCCACTTTTTTGTAGGTTCTTACTATAAACCCTAATATGGGATTTATAGGGACCCTACAAAAAAGTAGGTTTTGGGTTCTTAAGGTACAGTCTCGAACCACCACTTCAGAAAACGCAGACGCTTGCTGTCCCCAGCCCACACCTGAAAACGATCCTGGCTTAAGGGGCAGGAAACAGCTCAACAAGGTAAGGGCTACCTATAGTCTCCGTTGTAGCTCTTTTTTGGGGATTCCTTATAACATCCTCAATATATAATTGGTTAAACCAAAAAAGGAACTACAATGGAGACTACAGCTACAGGTCGATGTCATGGGTACCAGGTCCCATAGTCGTTGCCAGTTACGGCAGTTCTCCCACAAGCTGGTTTAGTGCTAACCACCCACCATAGACTCAAATCCTAAACCCCATACCGTGAATCCTAAACCCTATACCGTGAATCCTAAACCCTAAACCATACATGCTAAACCCTAAACCTCAAACCCTACACACTGGACTCCGAAGCTTGGACCATGGGAGGCGCAGGGGCTCCACCCCCCATCGTGCCGGAGGCTAAACAAAGGCGGGTTTAGGGTTTAGGGTTTAGGGGAGCGAGTTCGCTGTCAAACGTCCGGCTGCAACCCGAGGACAAAGGGTACAGGGCTGCATCTTCTCAACCCCCAAAACCTCTAAGTCCCAATCAACTTACAATTCCACAAAAACTCCTACCTTAAGAACCCACATCCTACTTTTTTGTAGGGTCACTATAAATCCCATCACGATGTTGTGTGTATATTATGTACGTGCATGTGTGTATATATGCATACACGCACAAACAAACAAACAAACAAACACACACACACATACAGAAAGATAACGAACAACGATGATCACTATACTAAGTGTATAAGTAGTGGACAGGCTTGCAGCCGCTGGCCCTGTTGTCCACATCGGGACTCAGCCAAAATCAAAAAGCATCTGTCATTGGCAGATACATTGCGCAAGTGGCAAGAATCCTAAACTACCCTGGGCCGTCGGAAGGACAGGCCCAGGCATCTGGATGTTTCGATCCGGCTGGTTCCAAACGGCTTTCACCGCTGATGGAGCCCAAACTACGACCTAGCCCGCTAGGTAATCGACCTGCGCGTCCCCAACGTCTTTACAAAGAGACAATGACCGACTGCGTGGACGAGGCGGCCGTGGACGAGATCGCGTCCTGCGGTGACAGTAACGGTTTAGGGTTTAGGGTTAAGGGTTTGGGGTTTATGGAAGTTCTGAGAGCAAGGAACCCCTATATCTCGTTGCATGACAGCTGCGCTTGCGCCGCCATGCCCTTGACCCTCAACCCGAAAACCTAAACCCGAATACATGGGGTCTTCTACACTGATCAGAATAAGGCTTTGGAGTATGTTAGGGTATACTCATACACCGACTATCACGGCCTAACATTTCTACAGGGGCCTTCATAGCTAGAATAGGGTTTGGGGGTTATCCTACTAAAAATCATAATAAGGAACTCCCAACAATAAAATTGATGGCACTATGCTCTATCATCCTCTTTTGTGTGACTTACCAGATGTTATATGATGTTAATATACTTTATCAAATTTTTATGGTATTATATTTATAGAACATTACAGTATGTCAAAGTACAGTATAGTATCCCTAAACCCTAAACCCTTAACCCCAAACCCCAAACCCTAAACCCCTAAACCATAAATCCTAAACCCTAACCCTGAACCCTGAACCCTGAACCCTAAACCCTAAACCCTAAACCCTAAACCCTCAACCCTAAACCCCTAACCCTAAACCCCTAACCCTGAACCCCTAAACCCCTAACCCCTAATCCCTAAACCCTCAAGAACAAGATAAATAGAAATTGTGTGAATTTCGCTTTGAACTGCATCTTCATTAGTCTCGAATTTTCATCAAACGTGTGCAAGCCCCCCCAAGTCCCCTTTCCTCCAGCCCATCCCAGCCCAGCCAGCCCACCCAGCAAAGCCAGGACAGCCGTCACCAGCCAGCCTCGACCAGGCCCAGCCCAGCCCAGCCCTGCCCCAACCGAGCCCAGCCCAGCCCAGGCCCCGCAGCCAGCCCGGCCCGGCCCAGGCTGGCCGCAAAACCATAAGTTAAAAACCAAAACTTTAGCTCAAGACTTTCGGTCAAAACTCCGGACCCAAACCCTATACAATTTTTATAAACCCCTAACCCTGAACTCCTGAGCCTAAACTCCTGACCCTAAACCCCTAAACCCTCAAGAAGGAAATAAATAGAAATTGCTTGTTGCTGCTGGCCATCCGGAAACCCACAGCCCCCACCCACAGCCAAGCCCAGCCCAGCCCAGCCCAGCCCAGCCCAGCCCAGCCCAGCCCAGCCAGCCCAGCCCAGCCCAGCCCAGCCCAGCCCAGCCCAGCATTTTCACCCTAAACCCCCAAACCCGTAAACCCTAAAACCCTAAACCCCCAAACCCCAAAACCTCAAACCCCGACCGTAAACCCTCAAACCCTAACCTCTAATCCCCCAAAACCCTGAACCCTAAACCCTAAACCCTAAACCCTACTCTACACGAAGTAGGCGACAGCCCAAAGCCCGCATGCCAGGAAGGCCTTTGGCTTCTACCTCTGCACTCCATGACCCTTGAGCGGCTTCGGGTTTCGGATTTCAGGTCTTGGGGTTTAGGGTTTAGGGTTTAGGGTTTAGGATTTAAGGTCTTGGGGTTTAGGTTTTGACGTGGCCCGGTTCACGGCTTGAGGTTTACGTTTTTAGGGCGTGGGGCTTTAGGGGTTTGTTGTTTAGGGTGGCCAGGTTTAGGGGTTTTCGGTTTGGGATTTAGGGTTTAGTTCAATGTGGCAAAGTCTGATAGGTGATGAAGTATTTGTGGTGTCATGGAAAAAAGCTTAGCAAATAGCATGAAATGTTTCGATAGATGTGACTGATAATTGGCTGGTAGCACGATTAGAAGAGCTTTTTCTTTCATCAAAGCAATGAGAACAGAACGAGTGATACTAGAAGGAAGGGGAGGACGAGAAGGAGCAGGAGGAGGAGGAATAGCAGTCGTCGTGGTAATCGTTTGCAGGAACATGAAGCACAACATAGCAAACACCTACAGCTTGAAAGCCCTTAAATGCAAGAACCTAGGCAAACTTCGTTAGCCTTGTATAGACTTGAAACAACCCCCAGAAACCACCCTTGAAGAGCCTAGAAGACCACCAAATCTCACAAGAATCTTAAAAGCCTTGCAAAATTCGCAGAAAACGTGTAAAATGCATAAGAAACAGAAACCCTGAACCCTAAACCCTTAAACAAAAGAGCTGACAAAGCCCTTCTCAAGCCTTGGATCCCACATCTTACGCCTTGAAAAACCGTAGGGGCTGAAGGGGTTTGGGGTTTAGGGAGTTTCAGGGTTTAGGGTTTAGGGTTTAGAGTTTAGGGTTTAGGGAGTTTAAGGGGTTTAGGGGTTTAAGGGCTTAAGGGGTTCAGGGCTTATTCTCTTAAAAGCCTAAACCCTAAACCTCTGAACCCCTTAAAACCCTAAACCCTTAACTGCTTGAAACCCTAAGCCCTAAACCGCCTAAACCCCTTAAATCCCTAAGCCCTAAACCTAAGCCCCAAACCCCTTGAAACCCTAAGCCCTAAACCCCTTAAACCCTTAAGCTCTACTCGCTAAGGGTTTATGTGCTCAACGAGTACATACTTTGGCCTGGGGTAGCCCCTAAAAGGGCACTTCGGGTACAAAGTATATGCTATTTGAGTACATACACTAAACCCCAAACTCTAAACCCACAGCCCTCAAGCCTAAACCCAAATTTTTAAGCCCTAAACCCTAAGCCATGGGCCCTAAACCCGAAGTACCCTAAACCCAACACCCTCAGCCCAAAATTCCTAAACCCTGAACCGTGGCTTAGGGATCAGGTAACAAGCCGTAGGATCCACAGTAGTTCCTTTTTGGGCTTCCCTAATAGGATCATAAGTATAAGCCACAAAAAGAAACTACTATGGGGCCTATGGCAAAAGCCGTAGGATCTCCGTCGCGGACCAGCGTTTGGTTTTCAAGCGCCCGCCCAGCGGAGCTCGCAAGGTGGAGATTTAGGGTTAAGGGTTTAGGATTCAGGGTTTAGGGTTTAAGATTTAGGGTTTAGGGTTTGGGATTTAAGATTTAGGGTTTAGGATGTAGGATTTAGAGGTTAAGGGTTTAGGACTTAAGATTTAGGGTTTAAGGTTTAAGATTTAGGGTTTAGGAGTT